AGTAAGCGATGTTCATGTTTATATTAAGTCTAACGCGGTAATTTGATTTTGACGATATTGTCATGTGAGAACCCGTCAAACATCTGAGAATCAAATTACGGACCGCAAATGTGTGGTGCAAACAAATTCACGGATAAAGTGGAGATGGTTCTACAGCGGGATGAGTGAATTCAATTGTTTGGTTGTCGTACTTTTCAGCGCTATGTTTTCAAGCTTTCTACTCGATTCGTTCGAACTTCAGGAAATGGTTTGCGTCACAAAACATGGAGCCACTTTCTCTTCGCTCAACATCTCGAGGCGTTATGATGAACATGCTCGCGATACGATATTTTTTTCCTTATGCTGGAAACTGAATAATTAATCTCTAAAATTGGTAGTCTTCGCATTTTGCAAGAAGCGTCCGCGCTGTGATCGTGCAATTAAACGGGGTTCTGGCAATTTGACCTCACAAGCGCGCTGGTAAGCACATGGTTCGCGTAAGTAATTGTTGTTTACAGTTATCGAATTCAAGAGCAGTTTTTGAGAGTTTGTTTCTGTAACCTCCCTGGATATTTTCTGTTAAATTCATTGAGGTTTAGTCTCGGAATTTCATAAGCGATTATGAACGATAGATTCGTATCGGCACCATAATTTAGGGAAATTTTGTCAACTTATTAACAGTTTACAATTCGCGAACCATTTCCGTAACCTACTTGGATATTCTCTCTTGGAGTAATTGGGTCACACCCTCGGAATTTCATTAGTAATTAAGAACGACAAATCCGTATATATAGCACAAGTGAAGCACATTTTAAACTTTCATACGATTGTAGGAAACTATACTTAATTAACTCTCGATAAATTGGCCTGACATAACTCGATGATTATTTTATTATTTTGTAGCCCCAAAAGCCCGGATTGTGACTTTAGAGGTACTGAACTTGATATATTTTATACACAAGGCACCCTTCAAGTAGGAAGGTTAGAATAAAATAGCTTTTATGACCATATATTGCACTCGGTTTGCACCTATCATCGGCCATCCCCTGGGGGGGGACCCCGGGCAAGGGTGGGGACTTTGTAAAGGACCCTGTCAAAGTTCTTATTTTCCCCCTCCTAGGTGGGGACACAGAGGAATCAAAGTTCCCCTCCCTGAGGGGAATCACCTTGAGCAGCTTGAAACCTGACAAGAAATCAGTACTTTATACCCTTAACGATATGTCATGTTTTAATAGTGCTTACATGTTCGTAACAATGCAAATTTCAATGTACTGCTAAATACAATTACACAAAAAAATGTTAACCAAACTACAGTGTAATACACGATGTCTGTTCAGCTGACTTTTTGGACTTAAACCGAATGGATTTACATTACAATACCTGCGCCATCCGCCGAGGTCGCAGGAGAAAGGTGGAGCACGTTCTTCTGCACAGCGGTCTTCATGTTTTTTCATTTAAGACAACTTGAAATTGACCTGTTTCGTTTGCAAAGTCCCCTGTTTTCCCCGCGGTGCAAGGCTTTTGGAAAACAAACCTCCCTCATTTCCCCCGCCTCCAGGGTAAGTTAATCGTTCAAATCCCCGTATAAGTCCCCATTCAACGTTGAATTTGCCCGGGGTCCCCCCCCCCCCAGGGGATGGCCGATATTCAGAAGCATTATAGACATGTATACAATATGCTTTTGCTTTATTTTATTGTAAGGGGTTTCTTTTTATGTAACATGTATCCATTCTTTAATTTCCTCCTTAACCTGCCTGCAAATAATTGAATATTATGTTTGAATTCAAGATAAAACTGAAGTCTTGCAGAGTTCTCCCAGGTGGAAATCTTATTAAGATCTTGGAAGATCTTGTAAGAATCTTATAAAATGGCAATTAAGATGAAGATCTTACTAAGATCTTATTAAGAATTAATAATCTTAATAAGATCTTGCCAAATTCTTGAACAAATCTTAACCAGGTTTGAGCATTGTAAGATCTTAAAAGATCTTATTAAGTTTATACAAGAATCTTGTAAGAATCTTGACAAAATTTTATAACACATGGGGATTAAGATCTTGGAAGGTTCTTAACAAGATCTTATTAAGTTTATTTAAGAATCTTGTTAGAATCCTCACAAAATTTTGCAAGAAATGGGGGTTAAGATCTAGAAAGGTTCTCAACAAGATCTTATTAAGTTTATTTAAGAATCTTTTAAGAATCCTAAAAAAAATTTTACAACACATGGGCATTAAGATCTTGAAAGTTCTTAACAACATCATATAAAGTTCACTTAAGAATCTCAGTTGTAAGAATCCTAATCTTTAAGAAAAGGAAGATCTTACAAGCTTCTTGACAAGATCTTGGTAAGTTTGTTTAAGAATCTTAATAATTAAGTAAGATCTGTAAATGTAACATCATAAAGATTCTAGACAGGATTTCATCTAAAGTTCATCTAAGAGTTTTGTAAGAATCAAAATTTTAAGATCAGTAGGAATTTAAATGTTCTTGACAAGATTTTATCAAGTTTATTCCAGTACATTCTTGAGTAACTTGAAATGCTTATCCTGTTCTGTTCATAAGAGAGCATGGGGATGCATAAGGCTGAAAACCTCTCACACATGATGTGAAAAATCCCATGTCCAAAAGGGGATCACATAACGTCAAGTAAGCTTCTATGGTATGGTGTGCAAATTTCAGACCTGAGAACACAATACACATGCAGCTGCTTTCTAAAGAGGTAATTGTTCCACTGGAATTATGGTATCAACAGATTAAATTTGGACAGACTTTTCAGATTACATTTGATGATTGATTATGAAATATACTGAACAGCTAGTTTAAATAATCACTAATCATGTTCATAGGGATTGTCTAGAAAGGGATTAAACCTTCCCATCTTTGCCTTGAACATAAAGACACCCATAGATAATGTCACCACATTCCACAAGCAAGAGACTTTCGCTGATATGGTTCAGAAAAAAAAATATGGCAGTATGCAGACCAGCCAGATGGCAGAGTGAAAAGATGTATTTATAAAAAAATTCATAGCTAGCTACTTGTAAAAATATTTTTCAAGAAAGTTGCATGAAATTTGTACTTTCACCAAGGCATTCCACGCCTCTGCGCATACACAGAATTGCAAATTGTGCACTTGATCGTTGTTGTTAACTGTTTTTGCATCATATTGTTTTGGACAAAGTTCGACAGAAATTCTACTTTGGTCGAGTGTTATCTACGTGGTTGCAAAATTTAACTGTGCCTTACAGCCCTAAAGAAGGAGAATGATTTTGAGAATTAGGATTTTACCGACCAAATTCTTTACAAAATAATAAATAAACATCGGAAATTTTCAGACATTTTTTGCAAAATTGAAATATATGCAAATTTACTTGTCAAGTAGCTGTCAAATTGACTAAAATGCCAACTAAGATGAGTGATAGTGAGCTTTAATTCTTTGAACACGTTTGCTGCAATACAAAATTTTGTTGTTTTTTTTTTGTTTTCATGCTTAAATTACTCTAAAAAAAGAAAAACTATTTCAGTTTGAATCAAACGAAGAACAATTTAAAACTGGGACATGCCTTTAGTTATTAAGGCTTTTTTTGTGCAAGGATAACTATGGTAGTTCAAATCAAACTGTCAAATGACTCCAACAATTAAAACAATTGTTTTTTTTAGATTTTTAAAACACACCAAAGGGAGGAACAAGAACTCTTCTTGTACAATTGTCATTTAAATTGTGCATGTTTACCAGTTAACGTTTCTTATCAAGATCTTTTTTAGTAATTAATTTCACAGTGTTGAGAATTTGCAATAAATTTTGCTTAAATGTTGGATGAAGAAATTCTTTCTTAGTTGTGATCTCCATTCCTCGATCATCCAGTTACTGCATATTGCATAAACCATCAGTTACCTACTATGGTCTGAAAAAAATGTGATATTTAAGAATTTTTACAGATTCTGCAAAAATTCTTGTAACTTGTTTGAAAATCTCACAAGTTCTTGTAAGTTCTTTTAAAGATCATTAAGACATTGTTGAGAATCTTAACAAGTTCTTTTGAAAACTTGTGAAGGTACTTAATTAAGATTCTTGTCACAGGAATCCTACCAGATCTTCTAAGTTTCTTGTAAGTTTCTTACTAAGATACTTATCAAGATTCTTAGTTAAGAATCTAATAGGATCTGGTAAGATCTTGTCACAAGATTCTTACAGGAGTCTTGTAAGATCTTACAAGACCAGGTAAGATCTTGTCACAAGATTCTTACAAGAATCTTGTAAGATCTTACAAGATCAAGTAAGATCTTGTCACAAGATTCTTACAAGAATCTTGCAAGATCTGGCAAGATCTTGCCACAAGATTCTTACAAGATCTTGTAAGAATCTTGTGACAAGATCTTACAAGATCTTGTAAGGTCTTACAAGATTCTTAATTAAGAATCTCAATAAGAATCTTAGTAAGAAACTTAGAAGAATCTTAGCACCTGAGAGAAGCAAACATAATTTATTACAAACTCTCTAATTGGGGAACACAGCAACTTCCAGGGCAATCCAAAAAATTATATACAAAAAATCATTCTGACCCCACAACCTTAACAACATAATAATCTCACCATTTGGATGGAAGGGTATTGTGTGAAAGAAAATCTTTGGTGGTCTGCAATTGTAGCACTCATCAAACTGAAGACACAACTTGAAGACACCACCTAAAAAAAAAGTTGAAAAAAGTTATTTGTAATTGATTCCAAAGATAAGGTGGGTTATTCTCCTTTCTATCTTTAATAGACCTCCTTATGAGCTAGTTATGAGAATTTGGTACTATATCAAAGTAAGATGTGTATATGCATTCTTGCCCCTGTTTTATTGGATAATGTTTTGAATTTTTGAGGAAAAGTTAGAAGTTTAAGGGTGAAGACAGCCACAAGGTTAACAAAATGAAGATCAAAATCATTCAACATTTTTTTTAAGGAAGATGTTTTGCCATATGACTTATAGACAGGCATTGGCAGAGGAAAGCAAAAAAACAACAGTGATTCGTGTACCTTCCCACATTGTGTCTTTAGGGCCTTTTAGGGTACCTTCCCAGGTAAACATGTCCACATCCTCATTGAGTGGGTTGGCCTTTATACCCTAAACAGAGAGAAATATATAAACCCTGGAACATTATGACTCAGTGGTTGGTGGTGGATTCAAAAGAGGGTCTTCCCCCCTCTGAATCAAAGTTCACCATACCCATCCACAATAAAAAAAGTTTTGGATCTGCCTTTGTGACTCCCAATCAAACCATGATATGTCACTCACATACTTCTGTTTTCAAGCTTCAGCTGTTTATTCATAACGGTAATTGGGCTGAGCGGAGTCCTGAATTCAGTCTGTAATCATGCAAGTGATGCCAAAATCAGACGACCAAGAAGCGGGAGTCCAATTTGTTAACCATGGGTATGACTACTGACGCAATTGGATGACACAAAGTCCTTTTACTAATTAATCATAACCATTACAATGTTAAAAAAAAAATACATCTAGAAAAAATATATCCAATGGAGACAATGTTTGGTGCGTAAATTATTCCTCCAGTTTGGAAATTCTCCATTTTTTTCTAAGTGGTTTTTGCTATGGTTATTGTGATCAATTCTGTGACTGGTGGATTCGGCTGAGAGGACATAGCATGATTTGCTGCTTCAACTTTCTGATTACAAGTGTTTAATTACAGCCAACTATCCAATTACACTGTCTGATTACAACTGTGCAGAATGATTAGTGAAAAATAAAGCACCCAATGCACCAATCACATTTGAGGAATTGAAATGGTTATGATTAATAATGGTAATAGGACTGAGTGGAGTCCAATTTGGTCTGTAATCATATGAGTGATTGACAAAATCAGATGACTATGAAGCAGGAGTCAGATTTGTTAATCACAAGTATAATTACAGACAGAATTAGACGGCACAAAGTCCTGTCCTGTTACCAATTAATCAAAACTATGAAAAAACTTGCGAAAGAAACTGGACATCAGTTAACATTTTCATAAAAAAGCAACAGTTATCCCAGCAAAATGTGAGACAACAGCACACATGATGCGTTCTATCTACTTACATTGGCATGATGGGTTACCTATCTCTTTAACTGTCCTATTACACTATCCAATTTACAAGCATGATGCGTACACTGTCCTATTAGTGCTCAAATCAGGCTGGTAATAACCAATCACGTTCAAGAATTTTGTTATAGTTTTGATTAATTCATTAACAGTAAAAACCGCAACTCTCCTCCAAGTCCCAAAGTGCTGACTTTCATAATTCAGCCACTAAATATATGATCACCAAGGTCCACTTCATCGACAAGCTCAAATTTTAAGAATGAGGGAGTGATAACAAAACTAGTAGTATTCACTAAGGTGAAAACAGAAACCTTAAATTCTTTAGTCAACAGTAACTAGTAACCCTCGTTTTGTCGACCATAACACATATCTAAGTTTACTATATCGAATTCTGACCTCTAGACTCGTGAAAAATCATTTGAAGGAAGTAACATATATAAACGTGAACGACAACAACACTATACGATCGCAATGAACACAAATATACTTCAAATGAGCACAATACATACCAAATTTACAATACTCACTACATATTGTTAGAAGGTACACGTGTGATTAGTGTAACATACCCAAGGAAGTTCTTCCTTTTGCAATTTAAACCACTCTTTCTCGAGTAACATGTACGCCCTTGAATGCATTCTTCCACTATTCTGGAGCACGCACAATTTCGGCTCTCTTATGGCAAGTTATTTAAAAAACGATCGAGCTTTTTTCGCTTTTGAAGGCTTTTATAACGAATCTAGTAGGCACGCTGATGCGTTATGCAAATCTGCTTCAGTTTAGCAGCTCAAGAAGCTCTTATGCAAACAATAACCTGTCTCGTCCTTTCTATCAACCAATGGCCGCCTATCTATATTGACATAAGAGCGAATATTTATTCAAATCGTTGAATTCAATATTATGCCCTAGAAACGGTTTATAAACAGCCACCACGGTTCTTTTGAACGATGCAGATCATTGCGAAAGTAGGGAATCAAATCGTATCCTGAACACCATGAAACACTGACATATTTGATAGCTCATCCTTCACTCCGTTTGTTTATAACGACCTTAAGCATGAAAATAAGTAAATAAATATGTATATCGGCTGGTCATTCGGAACGATCTCTCAGAATTTACATAACAGGTCATGTGGAATCCCACCCGGATATATTACGCCATTGTTCATGTTAAATTAACGCTAGAACCGAGCTTTGCAGCATTTTCAGTTCTTGCACTCAAATAAATGGATGTAAGGTTTCCAGTCGAAGTCGAGAGAGGAGACATGAACTGAATCGTCAAGGGCTACAAAACATATCAATGGTAAGATCAACGTGAACTTCACCAGCGCTATAAGCCTGTTTTGTGTACGTTATTAATTATTCGAGCGATGAATTTTTCGAAATTGGAAGAGAAGCGCGAGGCAGTTACTATTTGCGCGGGATATCGAAGAGGGTCTAAATACATTTCCGTTTTCAGATATTTCTATTTAAACGCAGCTTATCCTCCTTTAATTAATATTGTAGGAAGTACAGCTTTCGTGTTGGTCAAGAACGGAACGAGTCAACCTTCGGAAAGAGAGTGGCGCTGCAAATCACTTTCAAGACCCTTTTTCATTTTGCGTTTGTTGCAGAGTACAGACAAACATTTCTGCCCGAATTGCGTCTGCCCGATGTAAGGTCCTCGAATCTTCGAAAACATCAGAAAAACTGAACAATGACTAATCATTGGATTGGATTGGCAAAGATCCGCAAAGGTAAGCGGGATGGTGATTATTTTTCATGTACTGACCGTTATTCTGTCGACTTGAAGTTTGTGCGACCAAATTAACCCTACAACCGATAATTGACATGTCTAGTGCACGAGTATTGTAAACCGTATTAGTCGATCTATCAAGTTTTGCTCTGGGCGGGGAAAAGTGCTTTTTACGTATTTAGAAATGTTTGCTCCGGAGAAAACAGTCACAATTCAGAATATTTCTTACAAAAGAACTCAACAGAATGAATTGGTGTCTTACAAACTGATCGAAGAAGCGTCTACAGCATTCTATCTCGCACGCATGAAGAACTAGAAATGGCGGGCTGACATGAGCGCTATTTTCATTTCTCACCGATGCATGTTTCAACATCTTAATTTTAACGACAGACGAAAAAGACGAAACTTAGGATTGCACATGATCCTTAAAAACTCGGGTAAAATTTCCGCACAGCCCCATACCACATTATGCATTCAGTTCTTGGAATGTACCGCTGACACTTGAGTGTCGATTCGTATCGACGTCTGCCAGATCTTTTGAGCGAAACCCATGTTTTAAGGGCTAAACTGTTTTCTAAATCATGTTGCCTGAAGAAATGTGAGCAGGAGTAGAGAATCTACACTGGCAGGAGAACTACGAGTACAATTTTCGATCAATGGGCACGACTGATATTTTGAACGTTTCCGTCGTTGTACAAGCCGTAGAAAATTGAAATTAGTCGACTTACTTGCCGCTAAATAATTTTCAATATTTTCTCCGCAGAACTTGCGTTTTTGTACTATGGGTCAAGCATTGTTTAACAGTTTGGCGATAGCGCCGTGAAGGTACGCAAAACAACGTCTGAAATATGATACTTGGTGAATAATTTTAAATTTGGTAAAATTTCTGCAAAGCCCCATACTACATTATGCATTCAGTTCTTGAATAGACAAAACAATAACAAAAACATTACATTTCCATTAAGCAAACAGGTGTGTGTTATAACAGCATGGGCAATGCTGAAAGTTTGTCTGAATAAGCCCTTATATAGTAATTAGTGAATTCCATCTATTTTTAATGACTCTCAGTTCCCTCATCGTCATGGTAAAGGAGGTTGATAAAATGTTTCTGACTTTAATCGACATCACCCCAGCACGTGCAAGGGTCAAGGCGCCAAATGAACCGTCATGTCACTCAAACGTGATTGGTTGGGTTATAGAAAGTTTAGAGCCATGTGAAGGAAGCGGTTTTGGACCGGTTCAGATGAGACACATGAAAGCAGTGATACTAGAAGCTTGGCGACGAACTTAAGGGTGAGATTTGATTTACTTTATTTCTAATTGCCAAAATTTAGCTTTTGAGCGAGGAACATCTCCTATTTCTTTAGCTTGTGGGTTTTCGTCTCAAAGTTTTAGGTATTTTCCTTCAGGATCAATGCAGTCTGTTTGCTTTAACCAGCAACGGTATGCTACGGCTGTCGTGATTCTATTTATCTTACTCGAAGTACAGTAACTTTGACTTTCGCTCGTCAGCAGTTCTGTTCTCGCCACTTCCTTATTTTCCTTCAGGATCAATGCAGTCTGTTTGCTTTAACCAGCAACGGTATGCTACGGCTGTCGTGATTCTATTTATCTTACTCGAAGTACAGTAACTTTGACTTTCGCTCGTCAGCAGTTCTGTTCTCGCCACTGTCATCAAGTTAGTGTAACTTCACGAATATTTTATAACCCATTCACGCGATTTAATGTTCACCGCATAAAGCAGACAATTGTGCGAAAAAAAACTTCAAAACGTTACTCGTCGCTAACAAAAGGCCACTACCGAGTTCTCGCGGTTCAGTAATTTGGTACCGAAATTACGGCGCTAGGACGAAGCTCAGTGCGAGTATATCAAGGGGGCCCTCTGATTAAAGTTTGGTAAGATTGAAAAAAATTAAATTCCGTTCGTAACGAGGTGAATTATGCCGAAGCTGGGGAAAAAACAGTCTGTTTTAAAGGAAGGTTGTTTAAATAAGCGTAAAGGGTTCAAAGGTGTTCAAAAACAAGCGAAAGAGTGACCAGAGCAGGGAGAGAACAAAGTGTAAATATCACGTTCGTCGGTGAAGATGATGTGGTCAGCGAAATGATTCCACTGCCAGCAATCCCGGTTTCTTCGCCAAGATTTGGCGCTTGTGCAGTTGATACCTCTTTCTCGGACGAAATTTTACGATGGTGACTTGGAAATTGCTCAAGGATATCGCCTGGTATCAATGGAAAGTCTCAGGAAGTTTGTAAACAAAGTACATACTCACGGTCCATGTGCCTCAGGCCTGTTGATTTCGATAAAAACCCTTTTTTTGCATAGTGTTACTTATAATGCTGGATAATATGAAACCAAATCCATGAACCACTAACTTATCTAGTTTTGAACTAGAAAATCGATAGATTGTTTCCTTTAATTTCTCAGGTAAATTTTCGGAAGTCGAAGTGGTTGAGAGCTAGGTGGATCTGCTTCGTTACTGCAGCTTTCTTGCATAAATCGAACAGTTCTGCTTTTTTCTTTCCTTTGCCGCCATCACTTAGCTGAATGTCTCTCTCCTACAAGTAATTTTTCACTCCCACGCTGAATTTCGAGAAATTTTCTTTCATTTTCACCACTATAGCACTATACTCTTTATACCGATGAGAACGACTTCGCGGTTAGTCTCGTCCTCGCGCCGTAATTTCGGTACCAGATCACTGAACCGCGAGAATCCAACATGGTGGTCGTGCGTAAGAAGAGAAGTGTCGGGGAAATTTATTACGTACAACTCCACAGATTTATTATCTGTGGTGTTGTACGATACGCCTCGAAAGAGTACAAAAATTTACCATTCAACGTACAACGTGGAAAGAATAATATACCGGCGAAAGGTTCGCAATGTGAGTATTAACAGACCTTCGAAGAAAGAAGGAACTTAACACGAATTTTCTGTTTACATTTTGAAATTTTTACCTTCAATCTATATTTTATTCTTCTAAAAACGAGTTTAGAATTTCTACGTAGCTAATTGCCAGTGCATCATTTCTCTTGAAATTTTACCAGCTTTTTAGACATGCGCATGTGAACAACTTCGCACTTAGTTGAAAGGGCCTAAATATCTCTCCTCCTATGGAGTCGGCAAAAACCCATCCTGATTGGTCTCTAATCGATTAGCAAAATACCTTCTAATCCTGTACTTACGTAGTACCGTACGCCTGTGGAGTGTCAAATCAAATTGTAGTAAAATTAAGAAGGAATTGGTGAGTAAGCCGGATTTCGCCTACGTTACTAACAAAATGGCACACTTTAAACGTTGTTTACGTCTCAGAATCACGCAGTGCTTCTGATAAGTATTGTGCCGCAAACACTCCGGACACAACTGTTTTTGTTTGAATATTTCTTCACTATGTACCAAAACCCATAACGAGGGTAGAGGACAGACTGACCTAACAGATGGAAAGCTGAAAAAAAAAACAGGCCCTGTTAAGCCATTCATTTCAACCATTTGCTTTGTCTTGAATTTGCATGAAAATTTAGTACCTCTGTTTCCTCTGTTTTTAGTACCTCTCAAACTGCAGGAAGTTGCGGAAATAAGAATGCGAGAGAAAACCTCAGGTAAAAAGAAGAAAAAGAAAGAAACAGAACAAAGGATGACACTGAGGAAAAGAATTGAGGAGAAGGACAAGAAGAGAGAAAAAGAGAGGAGAGAGAGACGTGAAAGAGCAAAGAAAAGAGAAAAGAAAAGGAGGATGAAAGAAGAAGCAGAGCAACGACGAAGGGAAGAAAGAGAAAGGAGAGAGCTGGAGCGAGAGTTGAGAGAGCAGAGAGAAAAAGAGTCGATAGTGTGTCGTGAAATGATGGAGGAATTTGAGGAATCTTTTTTTTCCTTTTTTTCAAAGAATTTCCGCAGTCATGAACGCTATGGAACTGGTGGTTGAAATAAGGCCTGAGAAAAATTCAGTTTCTAGT